TTGATATAAACAGGTTGCGATTATTGCGACTGCAATTCTGGTCTATCTATGATACAGAAAACAGTGTTTTTAAATTGGGAGAGGTTATATATACGGATTCTTTTTCTTACTACTCATTATTACTACATTTTTAACAGTTGATTTCAACTAATGTAACAGTTAGAATTTATTAGAAATTAATAATTAATTAATAAATATGGCCCAATAAATTACAACCGTCAGATTGGCAGAAATCAAAAATTAAGATTTAATAATAAGAAGTAGGAAGAAAAAGAAGAAGTAATTCAGTAAATATAACTTTCCCCAATTTGGGACAGGATATATTTACCATCAAAAAAGTTTACCACTCTTACAACTAATTTAATCAACGTTGATTTCTGTCAATCTAACGATTATAATTTATTAGAAATTAATAATTAATTAATAAGTGTGACATAATAAATGTTATTAATTTTTAATAAATTATAACAGTTTGGGTGATTAAATTGGTTGTTTTTTGGTGGTAAGTGAATCTGTTCCCGTTAAAATTACTTTTGAAGTATAATTATAGAGAAGCTAATGTTTAAAAGTTAGCGGGGAAACATTGTTTCGTGTGATAGATTTTATGATTTGTCTCTCAATCTCAAATCTGCAAGAAAATTTGTGCTTTTTTCGTTGTACAGATATAGAAAAAGAGTTCTCCAGTATAGATCATAGCCCTCTCTTTTTGTTCGGACCAAATGATACGATAGATTAATGAAAGAGAGGGAGTGGTGTCTCAGTCATTCTCTCAAAAAATATATCTGAAACATACTGCAATTTCTGTTACAGCGATTTGAACTAAGAACACGTACAATACAATTCATAACTACAGGAATAAACTTCTAAAACTGAGATACCACGCTATCTTTTACTAAATAGTAATGGACTATTTAATGTATTGATAGAGCCATTTGAAACCATCTCCGTAACCCATTTTCTTCCTACTAGGTCCAGATCAGGGCAAACCACTTTGGCTACAAAGCTCTGATACCAAGTCAAACGAAGAGATATGCAGAATATAATATTATCATCTGTTGCTATCATTCTCAACTAAGGTTTATACACACATAATTCAATCTTCAATATCACCAAATCACTGAGAGTTGTAGTAAAATAACAATTAACTACACTGCTAAATTATCTCCTAAAAATCCCATTTACAACTATCAAGGTATTATTCAAACACGATAGGTTATTTTACCTACCATTTTTTTTTTCTATCTTTGTCTACCACTTTTCAATAACGTTAGATCATCTTTCTCTCTCTTCTTGAGATTATGCTAACAATATTGGAGAATGGTAGGCAAAAATAAGCAGAAAAAATGATAACGAGAATAACCTATCACTATCCAAATAACATTCTAAACAAAACAGTTTTTTTGAATTCAAACTTCCAATTTAACAAATAGTTACACAACAAAAATTCTACATGAGAGACAGGACATCTAAAGAAACTATGAAAGCATTGATGATGAGATAACTATTACCCTAAACAAATTTTATAATAAGCATAGTCATTAATCAGGCATAAGAAAACCAAAGAGGACTTACCACTTACCCTTGACTTGTTCATCCCAACAAAGCTTTGTAGCCAAAGTGGTTTTCCCTGATCTTCCTAAACCAGTCAACAAAAGGGTGGACACACCATCCCTGAGAACCTCAATCTTCAACTTGGTCAACGGCACATCCAAGCCAACGGTGAATTCTGGGTTCTCACGAACACCAAAAGGAGGCTTCAAAGGAGCTCCAGATCCGTTAAATTTCAGCTCAAAATTCTCTTTGTTCAGAAGCTCGAGAATTTCTCTCATCTTGTAAAGTGTCTCCTTAACATCCTTCGACACAAGAGCTTGCTTGTCATTAGAAGCAACATAGGAATCATCACTGTTATGCCAAAGTCTTTCCCACAAAGAGAGACACTTGTCCCAACAAAGACTCTTGCAGGGGCATTTGCACAGAAGATCAACACCTTCTTACATCTTTTTCTTTGATCAGAGTCTTTATTTCTTCTTTTGATGGATCCAAGTGTTCATTGTATTGCTCGATCTCCTTGACCACAGGTTTCAAAACATGGAGCGTTGACCTCAACATTCGCCTGGTCTTTTTGCTCTTACGACCTATTTTGAAGGTCTCTTGAAGCTGTGATGTAAGAACAACAAGTTGAGTGTTCTCTCCCATGAATAAACAACCTATGTGTCTCTTTTTAGAACAATTGAAATACGAAACTATGAAAGGAAAGATACGAGGATTTGGAATTGAAAGAGTGGAACGTTGTTACCACAATTTTATACAACCGGCATGACCTACTTGTTTTGAGCCTCACTTTCCTCGCTTCTTCCTTTATTATTGTTCATCGCGTCCTTCACGCGTCTTATAAATTTCAACATACGAAAAAAGTCAAATAGAATTAAGGGAAAACTTCATTTTCTCTCAACTTGGTTTTTGATTTATTATTTGATTCTCTTTTTAAACTTATTAATTAGATTTATTGTGCTGAGATATTTTTTCATTTAACCTCTTATAATTTCAAATTTTCACTTATATTCCATGTGGTTACAAAAGTTTTCACTTAGACATCTTGTAGTTTAAAAAATAAATTTTTAAAATAAATTTTCTCTCTTTTTTATTTTATATCCTCATGTAGTGTATTTATGGTTTAAAAAATATTTCAAGTTATTTATTCTGAAATTAATTTATAAATTATCTTAATTTTTTTAAATATATTTGAAATAAAAAAATATTATTTAAGATAAACTAAATATGTATTATCAAAATAAGATATTTACTTTCTTTAGATGATTTTATAAATATATCGGATAAAAAATAGATAAAATAAAATAATATTTGATTGAATTTATTTTCTTGATAAAAATAAGTGAATTTTAAATTTTTATTTTTATTTTTTAAACCCTACATGCATGAGGTGAGGATATAAAATAAAAAGAGAGAGAATATTTATTTTTAAAAATTCTTATTTTTGTAACCACAACAAAGGATTTAAGTGAAAATTTTTCTAACCATAAAGTATTTAAGTGAAAGTTTGAAACTATGAGATGTTAAATAATAAATTATTTAAACACTATAGATCTAAGTAATACATTTAAAACCCCATAAGCCAAATGATAAATTCCAAAATCATAATAGATGAAAATTAAGTATTCCTTGAATCAATTATTTGAAAAATAGAAACTGCATGGAGTTGGAAAGCACCATACGGAACGAAAGCTAGTGACTAGTTTTTATTGTTGCGTGTTGTGTAAAATAATTATAATTTTAAATTTATAAAAAGGACTAAAAGACTATTTCAAAAAAAGAAAATTAAACATTAAAATTTTCACAACATAATCGAGAAGGCATCAAGCTTTTGGCTTCCCTTAGGCTGAAGTTACATTAATCTAAAGCTTGTGATTTAATCTTCCGACAAGGTACTTAAAATCGGAATTTTAGCTAAAATCGAAAAGGGAATTAAAAATCGTAAATCGTAAAATCGTAATAAAAATAGTAGATTTTACTGCACTCTAAAATTAAATTTTTATATGCATATGCTTATGTATAAAAAAAAAATTAAGAAAAATAGACTATCTGCCACCATCTTTATACATTTGTATACAATTGTCACACTCTAAGGGTCTAAGCTAATAAATCATTCAAGTTATTATCATCGAAGACATTATGTTCCACGTGATCTTTAACTACATCATTTAAAATTGTCTTCTATCTAAACTTTCATCATGAGATAGTTTCTTCATTTTCCACAATCCATTCATCTTCGGATGAAACATCAGCAATGTTATATTCAACAATTTTTCTAACTTGCTTAACATCATTCCAATAGTTAAAATCGGGATTTAAATCTTAAAATCGAACTTAAGTAAATGTCTAAATCGAGATTTTATATTGGAAATGATTTTAAATGAAATCTAAATCGTTTTAGCAAAAATAAATCGTTTTAGCAAATAGCTTAGTCATCATGTGATCAAACCTCGGACCCTCCTCATCGTAAGCTCTGAACCCTTGCTCTTTTTGAATTCGGTCAATCCGTTCAGCAACCTCTGGGACAGTCGTGAAATTCCTGAAATTTCATGTCAAAATAAATCTTTGAACTCGTGTACTACACCAAAAAACACAATGCATTAGCATCTTTGAAACTTTGAATTAAGAATAGAAAATGGTTCATACAAATGAAACTTTATACCTACTTTCATCAAATGTTTCTTTAATTTTACATTCTTGAACCTAGTATTAAAATTGCTTGTGATGTAGACAAAAAACGTGATAGATATTTGAAGGCTGCCAACCAAAATGGACATTTCAGACCGCTAATATGATGCTCTGATGACAATCAGATATTAGACATACACCCTCCTCCGTGTCACGTCCTTGATTGAGGATGGTAACTCTCTTAAACTCGAACAACCGCTGACATTGATCTTTTCTAATTAAATTACGTAACTCGCCCATTTTCTCAGGTAACTTACTAAGCCTTATGCAGTCAGAGATGTCAAGAAATTTAAGGTCTAGAAGGCGTATAATTGAGTCTGGCAACTCTACCAAATCAGTACATTTACTAAGCCTTAGTGTTTCCAAATTGATCAAATTTCCAATACCTTCAGGAAGTGCTGAAACCTTACGGCAGTTTGTAATACTGAGCTTCTTTAAGAAGACAATATTAGAAAAACTAACTGGTAATTGTTGAATAAACATTAAATGTGGAGTTATGTGTCAGTTTAATTTTTAATGAGTTTAATTCAGCAGTCAGTTTAATTTTTAATGGATTTAATTCAGCAAACGTTAAATGTCAGTTTTATGTTTTTAAGTTTCTAAAGTTACGTGAGTTTACCGTGGTTTTAAGTGTCTTTATTGTAGAGTTACAAGTTTTGTAATTTAAAAATCTATTGTTTTGGATGTAAAAGTTACGACTTGTTCCTTAGTAAGGATTCTTTGATTTTACTCTTCTCCTAACAGTAATTTGATGGTACCAAAAGTGACAATATATTTGATTAACGTAAAATTGAGAAATGGGCCTTGCCCTTACAAGAAGTTCCAAGACTATATCTCACTGTGACAGTATAAACACTACTATACTCAGAAACAGATCAACAGATTACTCTATTACAATAATGAAATATTAACATCAACAATAAGAAAAATCTGCTCCCTCAACGAGGCACTACTTCCTTCCTAATTGAGTTCCCCTTACCATTCCCAATATTCCATTATTTTCAGATACCCCCCACGTTCCCTTCTTTCCCCCTTATAACTAACTCCATTTTCCTCACCAGCCACACTTCCCTTGCCATTCAGAGCCAGCCACGTGTCTATTCTAGTAACAAACTCTTTCGTTTCCTTCCCCATTATGTTCTTGTCTTCAGCCACTACACGCTCTTGGACTGATGATCAGTCTCCTCATTGGGCTTGGGCTGATTGGGCTGGTTTTGGGCCTGGCCTTCTTTCTCCATCTCTTGCATCTGTACACCAGAGCTAGTTGCCCATCATAATTCCACCATAGTGCAGTAGTCAATGTTCATCTCCACCAAATTTGGCAGCATATCTGAAACTTGGATATCACAGTTTCTAAATGCTTCATTCACATTGCACAGATTCTTCAATGGCAATCCAATCTTGCAGAGGAAAGGAATTGAAACCTCTAATCATTTTAGGAGCTAATTTAATGAAGCCAATTTAAGTCGACATCAACTTGAGGAATCTCTATCTTCAGATTGGGAAGCATAGGTTCAAAAGATTCCCATGAAGCAGCCGTCTCTTCGTCACATATCACCACCTTTAAATTCTCAAGATTAGCGACTGAGAATGGCAATTCACACATTGCACAACTTGTCATGTAGAGATTTCTTAGATTACACAGATTACCAATGTCCTCCGGTAAACTTGGAAGGCTTATGCAGTTTGAGATGTCAAGAAGTCGTAGATTTGAAAGCCTTCCAATAGAATCAGGTATCCCTTCCAAATCAGTACAGGAACTGAGCCTTAGGAGTTCCAAATTCTCCAACTTTCCAATATCTTTTGGCAGCGCAGAAAGCTTGTGGCAATTAGTAATACTGAGTTTCTTTAGTGGGGTAATATCACATAGCCCAGTAGGCAATCCCACCATATCTTTGCAATAATCAATGTTCAAATCTACTAGATTTGGAAATGCATCTGAAATTGGGATCATACCGTTTTCAAAAGCCTGTCTTGTATTACACATGTAGAGAGATAATTTTTTCAAATTCTTCAATGTGGCAAAGGTAGGAAGAAAAATCCGCTCTAGTCTAATTCTTTTCAGGTTTGATAAAGAGCCAAGTGTCTCAAAATTGTTCAGTTGAGAAGTATGGTACCCATAATTTGTGAGGAGAAGAACTTTTAGATCACTCATTTTCTCCATGAACTCTGGAAAGGAGTACTGCTTAGTTTGAAGATTTAAAATTAGAACCTCGGCTTGAGCTGCTTGCATGTCGGACAAATATGAAGTGCAAGTTTCATCTGCAAATGCAACCCATAAGGTGTCAATAGTGGAAGAGGAATGAATTGACAGATCACTGCAACATTCTTATTACAATTTTTTGATTTGTAAGTGTATAACTAACCAGTTGATAGAGACACTGTGCGGGCAGGGACCTGTTGGAGCATCTGTTTAACACCACATCCATGAAATTTTGACAATATGAGGGCTATCATGCCTTGCTGCTTCTCCCACCGTTCATGTTTGTTTTCATTTATCTCAATAATCAGTCTTTTTCTCTGTTTAATTGGTCCCTGGCTGCTTTGATGAATTGCAAGCTCTCTTAGAAGATCATGAAGGATGACGAAGTGGTTATTGTAGTTGTAATTGTCTGCGTCACTTACATTTTTCCTGGTAAATGAGCGGAAATAATTCATTAGAGAGAGAAATTCCCTTACAATATTAAAAACACAAGCTATTTATCAGATAGACTAATCACGAATTTCAACGATTAAGTTTAAAAGAATAAATGCAGAGTTGCATAATGGGAGAAGTTTAAATTCACTCCAAGTTAAATAGTCTTTTTGGAATATTATGTATGGAATCAAATGCTTCTCATATTAGTTACCAACTATTGAATTATTTGTTCCACAGAGTATAATTCATTTTATACATATATTAGGATAAGTGGCATAGAAGAAAATATAAGTAGTCTTTGTACCTTGCTATTAAAACATTAGCCAGATTCATGGAGTCTAATTTGTTGATGATGGCCATTGCTTCTCTGCCATCATCATCTAGTCCATATGATTCAGCCCACATATCAATGAGAGCATTAACAGGAATTCTGTGGTCTTCAGGAAATAGCCCCAAGTCCATGAAGCACTCCTTGGTGACAGGATTATCTTCCAAAACATCGAAGATCTTTTGGAGAGAAGAAAGTAATTCAGTATTAGAATCAAGTATCGAATGACCTTGTGACAATTCGTCTCCTATCTTTTGCCACAACTTATAAGGCCGATGACTGAGTGATCTAGCAATCACTTTAATGGCAAGCGGTAAACCCTTGCAATTTCTCACAACCTGCATTTCATTGCAAGCAAATATAGTCAGTAATCAAAGGGCTATGACTTAGGCACCCAAGCTGCAAATAATCTACCGTATTATGCCTCAAGGGGTCAAAACATGGTTTTCTACTCACTCACTTTTTCTTTTATGTTAATTCAATAATAGCTAGTTAAGAAAAAAGTTTGGAGTGGTCGTGTCCAATATTGTGATGTCTACTTCAAGTGAAGGACTTCAGACAAAAAGAACTAGTAAATAGAAATTCCATATGTCAGAAAGTAGGAATAAGCACCTTTTGGACAAGAGCTTCATCAGGATTTGAACTGCTATCTTCCAAGAGAGCGTAATGACGGAAAAGTATTATACCATCTTCATGAACAAGTGGTTTTAAGATACATGGGGTGCCAAATCCAGGAAATGCAACCCTTGAGGTCACCAAAACTTTATAATCAGATATCTGGAATTTCAATTTCTCAACGAGGGTCTCTGAGCCAGCCCAGACATCATCGAGGACCAACAACATTGGACTTCCCTCAATTTTCCTCAAAAAAAGCTCCAATCTATTAACAGCTTCTTCATCGCTTTGAAACTCAGGTACTTTATATCCACAGTGTTCATATAGTCTCTCTACAATAACCTTCAACTTGGGCGTTCCCGAGAAGGTGAAAAATAAAATATTTTCCCTGAATTTACCTAGTAAAACCAAAGAGATCTGTAAGGCCAGAGCATTTGATATCTTGTACTATTTCAGAAAGCATAGACATAAGCAATTCATTTCACCATGTGCATATATTGCAACAGAATAATTTATTACTACATACTAGAACATCATATGTTTGAAAATTTCTAAATAACTTATTTGTATCTCTTTCTGTTAATTTCTTTAGCAATAGTTCACAACTAAAATTCTACATGAGAGAGAGGACATTTAAAGAAACTATGATAGCATTGATGAGGAAATAACTATCACCCTAAACAAATTTTATAATAAGCATACTCATTTATCAGGCATAAGAAAACCAAAGAGGAATTATCACTTACCCTTGACTTGTTCATCCCAACAAAGCTTTGTAGCCAAAGTGGTTTTCCCTGATCCTCCTAAACCAGTCAACAAAAGGGTGGACACACCATCCTTGAGAACCTCCACCTTCAACTTGGTCAACGGAACATCTAAGCCAACAGTGAATTCTGGGTTCTCAGGAACACCAAAAGGACGCTTCATAGGAGCTCCAGACCCATTAAATTTCTTCTCAAAATTCTCTTTGTTAAGAAGCTCAAGAATTTCTCTCACCTTGTAAAGCGCCTCCTTAACATCCTTTGCGACAAGAGCTTGCTTGTCATTAGAAGCAGCATAGGAATCATCACTGTTATGCCAAAGCCTCCCCAACAAAGAGAGACACTTCTCCAAACAAAGACTCTTGCAGAGAAGATCAACACCTTCCCCTGCATCTTTTTCTTTGATAAGAGTCTTTATTTCTTCTTTTGGTGGATCCAAGTGTTCATTGTATTGCTCGATCTGCTTGACCACATGTTTCAAATCATGGAGCGTTGACCTCAATATTCGCCTGGTCTTTTTGCTCTCACGACCTATTTTGAAGGTCTCTTGAAGCTGTGATGTAAGAACAACAAGTTGAGTGTTTTCTCCCATGAATACACAACCTATGTGTCTCTTTTTAGAACAATTGAAATATGAAACTATGAAATGAAGGATACGAGGATTTTTTACTTTTTTTTTTATACAGGGTACGAGGATTTCGAATTGAAAGAGTGAGACATTGCAACCACGTATATATAAAACCGCCGTGCCGCACTTTCCTGTCCGATTGCTCTTCTCTTTCCTCGCTTCTTCCTATATTTTTTTATCCCGTACGTCACGCGCCTTATAAATTGCTCTTCATTTTCCTCACTTCTTCCTTTATTATTTTTTATCTCGTACTTCACGCGCCTTATAAATTTCAACTTACGAAAAAGTTATAGAATGAATGATTTAAAAAAGGTTGTTATCAAAAAAAAAAAAAAAAGGTTACGAGGTTTCTACTTTTAAATTATATAAGTTATCATGTTATCTTCGAAGAGAGATACACAGAATGAATGAAAATTAACGGAGAAAAAGTTGATGATTTTTTTATTTTAAATTTTAAATAAAAAATATTATTTTTTTTGTCTATCTTTTTCTTAAAATAATATAACTTTATATTATTTAAAAAATAGAAACTACGTACCAAAAAAAGAAACTGCATGCTAAGCGAGGTATGGAACGAAAAACAGTGTATCAGGCAAGTAGTTTTCATCTATGATGCATCCACATCGACATGAGATACGGGACACGACACGCTGACACGTTAATTTTAAAAAATATCATATTTTAACATGTTAGGACACATTTTGATATTAAATAATATTTTTAATATATAATACATAATTTATATTTAATACATGAATCAGTCCATAATAAATCATATCATCAATCAAATATTCAAATTCCATAACATATATATAAATCAAAAGTAATTTTTCATACCTTGTTAATTTTTTATGTCCAATTCTATAACAGAAAAAAAATTGACTTATAAATTAATTTTTCATTTTTAGTTAATAAAATAAAATATAGACCTTAAAATAAAATAAAAAACGTGTCGGATGCGTGTCGGAGTGTTGACTGCTTGTAGGAAAAAGTTGATCGCATGTCAGAAACAAGTGTCAGAGCATTGATCGCGTGTCCCAAAATATTGACCACGTATTGAAACGTGTCGTAGCGTGTCGGACCCGAGACATAAATTTTAAAAAAAATGCAATGTACGTGCATTCTAGTTTTCATTGCTGTGGCCTGTGTATTGGTAGCATATATTTTTGTTAAAATATATATATTTGAGTAAAGTTGTTTTTAGTGTTTAACAAAAAATATGGTCTTTATTTTAAATTTTTTTAAAATTAATCATTTAATTTCTATGAAATTTAAAGTGGATCCATTTTAGTTCTTTTAAAAGATTAATGTGGATCTTTTTTGAATTTATGAGGGACCTCAATTTCAACTAAATAGGTCCACTTTAAATTTCATAAGACTTCAGGACTATTTTTTCTTTTTGTAAAGAACTAAAGTGGAAATCGTATTTTTTGGTAAGGACTGAAAAATAATTTTTCTTTTATATTTTTAAAAATTTATTAGCGGTTGTTGTCTGTGTCACTTCGGAGAAGATTCTGATAGAATAATAAAAGGTCTTACTTTTTATTTTAATGGAACGATAGTAATTTATTAATTACTATTTATTTTTTAGTAAATTATAATCATATGAAAATTAACCCTTGAGATGGGGAATAAATCTTCTTATTAAGCTTCCTGAACATAACGAAAATGGCATTAAACTTTTATTCTCCACTCAAAAGGTATTCCATTATTAAAAATAAAATTCAAATGACATTAATTATAAATGGGTGTATAAAATAAATAAAAGTAAATAATTTATTTTTCCAATATTAAATAATTAATGTACTGAATTTTTGGTATTACGGAAATAATAAAGATATTTTCTATTATTAGAGTGGAGATGAAATCTTGAAAAAAAAAGTAGTTATTAATTATTATAACTTATTAGGTTTAAAAAACAGTGTGATTTTTTTAAAATAAAAAAATAGAGGAAGAATATACTGACCATCTAATTTTTTTATCACATTTACAATCAATCTAATAGTTATAATTTATTGAAAATTATTGGGTCGCATTTATTAATTAATTATTAATTTCCAATAAGTTATAATCGTTAGATTGACGAAAATCAACGGTAATTAGATTAGTTGTTAAGATGATAAATTTTTTTGGAGGTAAGTATATCCTGTAAAAAAAATATATACAATTTATTACTTTTTTGTGCTTGCTTGGATGGTTACCTAATTCTTTGTTTTTGTTTCTTAATTTTTTGTGTATTTTGTTGGCAATTACTAAGACTGCTTTACTGTTTGCATGCAGGGAGATAAAAGTCGCAAAAAGATCTTGCATTGCACCAATAATTCATCTAGTAGTACCTTTTGCTGTCCAATTGGAGTTGCTTGCTTTCGACGAGCATTTGTGTATGGAAAGGGAATCATTTATTAGGTAGTGTTTGGTAGAGGATTTTTTAGAAGATATTTAGGGCGTGTTTGGTTGGGAGAAAATGTTGAGATAGATGGATAAGTGAGAAGTGAGAATATCCCTACACCATGTTTGGTTGAGCAAACTTCTATACTTACCTACCTAAATGACTATCTTACCAAACCAAGTTGACTATCTATTTTCATGGATATAGTCAGTGAATTTGTCCCTTTGATCATGTGGTATTGCTGAAAAGCAACTTATCTGCTGACATTGGCTTTTAACCAAAAGACTTGGATACCCTCTGTTAGCGCGCGAAAGGAAAATATCTTGCCAAATCTATTTGGCCATAATATATTTCATTTATGTAGATGATGCTTTGAAGTCTCTCCTATCGTGTACACTTTAGCTTCTGACTGTTTTGTGCCAATTGGATCTCACAGTTCCCTGCTCATGATAAACTTATCAAGGAGCTTGGGGTCTTTTGTTCCGTTTGGTGGCTTCTTTCCTACACCTTCTGAAATAAAAAATCCCGTAAGCTTTGCAAATGCAACTTTTACTCGTTGTGGCAAATGCAATGAAAAATATGAACAAGAAGTTGCTGATATTCAGAAGGTAGGCCCTGCTACTCTGGCATCTAGTTACTCAACAAGCTTGCCTTGGTTACAAAAGGTAGTTAATGTGAACACACATAGAGGCCATATGTGCTATCAATCAGTAGATTTCAAAGCTCTTAATCAACTTCTCTCTGAAAATGTTAGCTGGCAGGATGAGGCCATATGTGCTATCAATCAAACTCTCTACATTTGTAGATTTGATGCAGGAAAACGCAGAGGCTCACATGTTAGAGCAGACATATGGTTTGCTTTCCTTGGACCAGATAGACTTGGAAAAAAGAAAATTGCTTCAGCTCTTGCAGAGATTATATTTGGAAACAAAGAAAGCCTAATCTCTGTCGACGTGAGCTCCCAGGACAGGTCTTACCCATTGAACTCCATTTTTGAATGCCAAAAGTCATATTGATATGATGTGCTTAGGAGGAAGACAGTTGTGGATAATTCGAACCACACACGAAGACAACGTGGGAAAGAGACGGAGATGGCAAACAAAAACAGAGACAAAGACGTTGTGGATATTGACGTTGGGTCAATTGAATGTAATTTGTATAAACGTTCAATAAGTTTTAAAAATAAAGAGTTATTTCTAAAAGGTTATTTTGTAATTTTACTAAATTTACCCATCAATATTTTATCTTCAACCAAACACACATTCAGTTATTTTACTCAATTTTCCCAGTAAAATTTTGTCCAACCAAATAACATTTTTTAAACTTTTCTATATATCTCACTTTCTAACTATTTCCCTAACAATTAAATTTTCCTAGTATTCAAAAAATTTCTCCTTAACCAAACACCCCCTAAGGTGTCGGCTCAAAGAGATTTATGAGAATATTAGGAGAAATTAATTCGCTTTAAAGAGATAATTAGAGTTAAGTTAATTTTTTTTTAAAAAAAAATTATTCCAGTACTCAGTTTTTTCAATATCAAACAATATTTTTGGGAAATTATTATTAAATGTTTTTACTAATAATTATAATTTTATAGATTTTAAATATTATCATAAAATTTAAAAATGAGCATCCTATGCTTGATTCACGAGTTTTCAAAAGTACTCTTGATAATTAAGAGTGTTCTTAACCAAATCAAATCAATTTAAATAGAAAATCAAAACTTCTAGTTTGGTTTTTTTGTATAAACCAATTGGCAATTAGTTTGATTTTAGTTTTTGATTTTCATTTACTTAATCAAATCAAACTAAATTTAACTAATTGGGAAAACTTCACTTTCACCTGGTTACATAATATGTTATTTATCCCCTCAAATATTTAGTGTTTTAAAACCCCGCCCCACCCCCGTATTGACCCGGGTCAACCCTGACCTCTCCAGGGTTAGGGTCACAAATTAGACCCTGTATGCATATCGACCCATCGACCCCCAAAACCCGGCCGGGTTTCAGTGACTCCCGGGTCAGAGGGGTCAAAGGGGGTCATTGCATGTTTGTTTTTTTAAAAAAAACTCCATGAAACAACATTATTTTATTAAAAAAATAAATAAAAATGCTTGCAAACCTAAATCTAATTGTTCTCTTCTCTCCTAGTGACCTAAATGTTTTCAATTTTCACCTCACTGCCGTGAATCTTCTAGAAAAGTTAAGAATTTTACACCTTCAAACGAAATCCTTACCGTTGTCGATGGAAAAGAAAAACTCATTCTTACTTCCTTTAAATTTTTCCTTGTCAGAGACCTTCTCAAAAGAGGCAGAACTGAGTCAGTGTAGTGACCCCATTAGAATATGAGGTTTGTACTTTAGTATCTTGATACTTTAATTATGTTGTATAATATTGACTTGTGGTTGTAATTGGTGAATTATGTTAAGTATATTTTGAATTTTTGATGATTGGTGATTTATTTTTTAATATTTTCATATAGGATATATCTATTTATTTTTTTAATATATAAAATCGGGTCAGCGTAGTGATCCCGTGACCCCCGGTTGAACCCGTGACCCCGTCACCCGTGACCTCAGCCGGGTCGATGGCCGAGCCGGGTTTTTAAACACTGCAAATATCTAAATATCCTTATTATTTAAAATATCAATAATACCCTTACACAAAAAATTACAAATTATATTTGAAATGTCAAAAATATCCCTATTAAAAAACCAATTCTGATTAGAAATACCTATTATTTTAAAATTTACTTTTAATCTTAATC